TCGGTAGGTGTCAGCTTTATGTGGGCGTCCCCACGGAGGCAACGGTGACCTTGCCGTACACCAGCCCACTGCTCTTTGGGAAACCCTGGTATTTATACATTTGCGGAGAAACGGGTGTCAACACTCGTGGCCAATGGGTGCCGAAACACGCCTCAGTTGCAACATAGGGAGCCTATGGCACATGCGCCCGCTGGCCAGGCACGCTGCACGTGCCATAGCCATCCCTTCTATTGGTTCATGGGCTTTGTACAGACAGCATATTACCATAATCCATCAGTCATGTCAACTATGCTCTAACCAATAACAGGATTTTTGCAAGGCAAGCAAAATGCTGTGCCTTAGAATCATAGAATCATTTAGGTTGGAAAAGACCTTCAAGATCATTGAGTCCAACTGTTAACCATGCCCACTAAACCATGTCCTGAAGTACCCTGTCCACTCGCTTTTTGACTCAACCACTTCCCTGGGCAGCCCATTCCAATGTTTGACAACCCTCTCAGTAAAAAAAATTTTCCTAATATCTAACCTAAATCTCCCTTGCCTCAACTTGAGGCCATTTCCTCTTGTCCTATCTCCAGCCACCTGACAGAAGAGACCAACACCCACCTCACTACAACCCCCTTTGAGGTAGTTGTAGAGAGCAATAAGGTCTCCCCTCAGCCTCCTCTTTTCTACACTAAACAGCCCCAGTTCCCTCAGCCGCTCCTCATAAGACTTGTGCTCCATGCCCCTCACCAACTTGGTTGCCCTCCTCTGAACACACTCCAGCAACTCAATGTCTTTCCTGCAGTGAGGGGCCCAAAACTGAACACAGTACTCAAGGTGCGGCCTCACCAGTGCTGAGTACAGGGGAACAACCACCTCCCTGTTCCTGCTGGCCACACTATTTCTGATACAGGCTAGGATGCGATTGGCCTTCTTGGCCACCTGGGCACACTGCTGGCTCATGTTCAGCTGGCTGTCAACCAGCACCCCCAGGTCTTTCTCTGCCAGGCAGCTTTCCAGCCACTCTTCCCCAAGCCTGTAGCGCTGCATGGGATTGCCGTGACCGAAGTGCAGGACCCGGCACTTGGCCTTGTTGAACTTCATACGATTGGCCTCAGCCCATCGATCCAGCCTGTCCAGATCTCTTTGTAGAGCCTCCCTACCCTCAAGCAGATCGACCCTGCCTCCCAACTCGGTGTCGTCTGCAAACTTGCTGAGGGTGCACTCAATCCCCTCATCCAAATCATCAATAAAGATATTAAACAGAACAGGGCCCAACACCGAGCCCTGGGGAACACCACTTGTGACCCACCACCAACTGGATTTCACCCCATTCGCCACTACCCTCTGGGCTTGGCCATCCAGCCAGTTTTTCACCCAGTGAAGAGTGCCTTGTATTCCTCCATTGTTGCATGTCCTCCCCTAACATTGCTCAACTTCCTTATTCCCATGGTCAGCATTTCAAACAACAGACAATAAAGCATCTGTTTCTTGTGCTGACTGTGCTTTTCAGCTATCTACTTCTTACTCAGTGTTCATCCACGGACCAAAATTCCACCTTTTAACCCTTCCGTACACAGCCCCCTCCCGGCTTCCTGTGAATATTAACTCTATCCCAACTGAACCCAGGATACTGAGAAGTTTCCTACCGTCCAAACTATTACATGTTGCTTTAGGGAAACCAAGTGTTCATAAGCCCCAGAGATGTATTTATACACCTCTAGCCCCTGGTCTTGGAAGGCTATTTCATGAAGAACTTCAGGATCATTTCTGAGCCTTGTTGGTCTCTCCGTAGGTTGTGGAATATCCTAAGTACTTGGATCTTTGGTCATGCACATCACAGACAGCTGGAGAACTGCTCCTCTACGCCTTATATGCTGTCCTGGTACACAGTGGTGGCAGCTGTCATGGGGAACACTATTACTGGTATACAAAGGTAAAGAGCAACTTCCTTCCTAACCGGAAAAATGTGTGCTGAGGAAGACAAACTTTCACGGCAGTGTTACTGGCAGCCAAGGTTTTGGGGGAGAAGGTCTTCTTATGGGCTGGATTGGATTTGTTTTGGCATGCTCTTGATTCTGCAGGTTTTTTGCCTGGTTTTTTTTGTTGAGAAACCATGCAATTCATCTCCAGATACTGATGCCTTTCTTTGCAGGGAAGCAATGGACTGTGTTACGAGACAAATGATATGTCTGTTGTTCTTTGTGACGTCAACAGCAAGCAACAACTCACCGTGACATCAGGCAGCAAGCTTATCTATTGTTTAATGTCAGGTAATAACAGATATTAAAATGTATTTAGAATATGTTTCCTTTTCATTGTTTTGGTATTGTTCTTCTCATCATCCTGAGTGTTTCTCTTTGTGCCATAGGAGACAATTACTACCTGCATCAGTTGCTCTCTTTTCCCTCCCACACTGCAGTTTTCTTCACAGCTGCCCTGCTACAGCCACGCTCCTTCAAAGAGTGGCTACTGCTAAGCTGTGGATCCATGCTATGTCAGGTCTCCATCATCAAGGGCTTTCTAGACGCTGCTGGATGAAGCCCCAAGCATTGTGGTCAAACCTCCTAGCCGCTGCTGCTTGGAGCTGGAGGCCTAAGGCCCTCCTGGTGTCCTTTTACCTGGAATGAACCAATGAACTTGTCACTCCTGGATTTGTAAACATAAACTGATTTCTAAACATAACTCCTGCCTGTAATTTTTCCAGTGAATTCCTTACCAATAAATTAATTGGTCTTCCTTCCATTATCACAAACTGATGGTATAATAAATGAAGACCTACTTCTACTAATAAAGGGATTGTTATCCCCATTGTCAATTCCTAGCATCTAAACTTTCTCTTGACTTAATTCACCTGAGTATTGATTTATCATAGAGTAGGTAGCACCCACGTCTATCAGAAATTCTAAAGTGTGATTATTGACTTTTGTCATGATTTGAGCATGATCTCCTACCACTAGTTTGCACGCCACGAGCGTTCCAGGCTCTTCCACCTCCTGTCATTGTTGAGTGTCATACTGAGGGAATTCTGCCAATTCCTCAGCATTTTCTCTGCTTGGCGGTCTCCAGACAGGGGGATTTCCAAATCCTCTGGTCATTTGTGGCTGAACTGGACAGTCTTTCTTCCAGTGGCCTTCTTTCTCACAGTATGCACAACAATTTAGGTCTAACTGTCCTCTTCCTGTTTCTCCTGCTGCTCCCACACCCCTTCCTCCTCATACTCGTCCTATCATATTCATTCCTCTGCCTCTCGACATCGGAGTTCATCCCAGTACTACTGCCAACATATTCACTTCCTCTCTCTCTCTTCATTCCTTTTCTTTCTTTTCTGTCTCTGACCTGCCATCATATACATGTGCTGCCAGAGACAATATTGTTTGTAGATTTTCCCCCCTGCCATCCCAGAGCATGCTTTAGAAAGTATTTATGAATGTCTGGAGCTGCCTGTTGAGCAAATACACTCATAGCCCAACGATCAATAAAATAACAGAATTGTCGCCACCAGCTAACAAAGAAGAAACACAAGCTTTCTTTGGTGTCGTGGGTTTTCAGAGAATGCATCTTCCAGGTTATAGTCTGATTGTAAGCCCTCTCCACCAAGTGACCCAGAAGAAGAACAACTTTGAATGGGGCCCTGAGCAGCAGCAAGCTTTTGAACATATTAAACAGGAGGTAGTTTGTGCAGTAGCCCTTGGGCCAGTCTAGACAGGACAAGATGTGAAAAACATGCTTCACACCACAGCCGGGGACCATGACCCCACCTGGAGCCTCTGGCAGAAAGCACCTGGAGAGAACTGAGGTCAACCTCTAAGGTTTTAGAGCCGGGGTTATAGAGAATCTGAGGCCCACTACACTCCAACTGAAAAAGATATATTAGCAGCATATGAAGGCCTTCAAGCCACTTCAGAAGTAGTTGGTCCAGAAGCACAACTCATCTTGGCATCTCAATTGCCTGTGCTGGATGTTCAAAGGGAGTGTCCCCTCTACGCATCATGCAACTGACGCTACATGGAGTAAGTGGGTCACGCTGATAACACAATGGGCTTGAATGGGAAACCCTGACTGCCCAGGAATCTTGGAAGTGATCACGGCCAGAAGGCCAAAACTTTGGAGTATCACCAGAGGAGGTGACTCGTGCTGAAGAGGTCCCACTGTGTAATAAATCAACAGAAAAAGAGAAGCAATATACCCTGTTTACAGATGTGTCCTGTCATATTGCGAGAAAACATCGGAGGTAGAAAGGTGCTGTATGGAGTCCAATACGACAAGTCACAGAAACTGCTGAAGGAGAAGGTGAATTGAGTCAGTTTGCAGAGGTGAAAGCCATCCAGCTAGCTTTAGATATTACTGAATGAGAAAAGTGGCCAGTCCTTTCTCTCAATACTGACTCATGGATGGTGGCAAATGCTCTGTGGGGGTGGCTACAGCAATGGGAGCGGACCAACTGGCAGCACAGAGGCAAACCCATCTGGGCTGCTGAATTGTGGCAAGATATTGCTGCCTGGGTGGAGAACCTGGTTGTAAAAGTACATCACGTAGATGCTCATATACCCAAGAGTAGTGTCACTGAAGAACATCAAAACAACCAGCAGGTGGACCAGGCTGCTAGAATTGAAGTGGCTCACATGGATCTGGACTGGGAACATAAGGATGAGCTATTTATAGCCCACTGGGCCCATGACACATCAGAACATTTAGGAAGGGATGCAATATACAAATGGGCTCGTGATTGAGAGGTGGACTTGACCATTGATGCCATTGCATAGGTTATCCATGAATGTAAAAAGTGCACCATAATCAAACATGCCAAGCAGCTAAAGCCTTTTTGCTATAGAGGATGATAGCTGAAATATCAGTATGGAGAAACCTGGCAGATTGACTATATTACACTCCCACAAACCCGCCACAGCAAGCACCATGTGCTTACAAAGGTGGAAGAGACTACAAGATGGTTGGAAACATACCCTGTGACCTATACCACTGCCTGGGATACTATCTTGGGCCTTGAAAAGCAAGTTTTATGGTGACACAGTGCCCCTGAAGGAATTGAATCAGGCAATGGGACTCATTTCCAAAACAACCTCATAGACATCTGGGCCAAGGAGCATGGTATTGGCAGGATATGTATGTCACAACCCCTATCATGCACCAGCCTCCAGGAATATTGAACAATACAATGGATTGTTAAAAACCACACTGAGAGCAATGTGTGCTGGGATATTCAAGTAATGGGATACAAATTTAGCAGAAGCTGCTTGGCTAGTTAACACTAGAGGATCTACCAATCCACCTGGCCCTGCCAGACTGAAATTCCTACATGCTGTGGAAGGAGATAAGATCCCTGTAGTACATATAAAGAGCTGGCTGGGAAAGAGTGTGGGTCATTCCTTCTTTGGGAAAAGGCAAAGCCACTCATGGGATTGCTTTTGCTCAAGGACCTTTCTTCATAGTAGCTTGTATGGGGCTGTGTTTTGGATTCGTGCTGAAAATAGTGTTGATAACACACCGATGTTTCAGTTACTGCTGAGCAGCGCTTACACAGCGTCAAAGCCTTTTCTGCTCCTCATCCTGCCCCGCTAGTGAGTAGGTTGGATGTGCAGAAAAAGTTGGGAGGGGACACAGCTGGGACAGCTGACCCCAACTGACCAAAGGGATATTCCAGACCATATGATGTCATGCTTAGCAATAAAACTGGGGGGCAGGCTGGCAAGGGGCCACTGCTCAGGGACTGGCTGGGCATTGGTCAGTTGGTGGTGAGCAATTGTTTGCATTTGCATTGCTTGTTTTTCTTGGTTCTTAGTTCCTCTTCCTGTTTTTTCAGCAGTGTAGTAGTCTGCATGTGTGGTAGCCACTCTGGGCAGTGCCACTTGAATCAGTATTTGGAATATGAGGCATGATAGCCCATCCACAAGTACATATCTAAAGTGGTTCAGATGAAGGGTGGTCTTGCAAAAGTCGCCCTTTGTGTCCCCAGGTGGCATAGACACTGCTGATTTCCCTCTCCAGAGAAGCAGAGGCTGGATCCCCTTCTCAGGACAGACTCCTTGCCAGGAAGCCACAGCCATGAGGAAAGCTCATCAGGTTTTTACTGGCACTTGTGCAGTAAATAAGGTCATAAAGGCCCTGTTAAAGGACACAAAAGCTCACCATGAGCTCTGGAGGATGTCAGGAAGATTGAAATAAGCAC